GGGTAGAAAAAGATAGAAAATTTTCAGCGAAATCAAAGGGGGTCAGGTAAAAAATTTGTCGATTTGACATGGAATGACCCATATCTATTCTGATAAAAAAAAAAAAAAAAAAACTGGTGTGTGTATTTATGTACGCACGTAAGAAATTATACTTCTTTAGCGTACCAAAACGAACACATAACCTCAATAAATTCAAAAATAACTTCAATTAACTCGCGTACCAATATAATACTCTACATTTGTCGAAAATACGAATAATATGATAAATTAAAATGTGTGAAGATACTAAATACCATTGTTAAAGCTTTTAATTAATACGTACAATCTAATTTATATTTATTTACGAATGACTTCATGCCGGTAAATTTGAATTCGTTTTGCCCGCGCATCGTAAATTGTCAACAACTTCGTGGTGTCGATTTTTCGGTCGCATCTAAATTCACTTTCCAAAACGTGCGCCAAAAGAAGTATAACCTCAAAAAAAAGACATAAAAAAAACACTCACCTATCCCATAATACGAAATCATTATCCTGTATGGTTGGAATCGTGTGCTGAGGATTTAACTGAAAAATACGAAATAATACAGGAATAACAAAAGAAAAATCAATATTGGATTTAGTTCTTTTTTGAAAGTTAGAACTACTGAACAGTTGAAGTGTTAATCAACAATGACATAACCATTCTCTATCGGCTTATCAATTATATCGCTAACATTGGACTTTGTCCAGATAATTCGTTAAAGAAACGATAACCTTTCGACATATAATATAAAATTATTTATTCAACTATACAGAGTGTCCCACGTAAATCTTTTCACGATTTTTTCAAGTACTTAAGATAATCTGACAAACTGTCATTGTTTGTTCAAATTTTCATTTCTTTACTTGCAATGTCATCCAAAGGTCATGGTATACTAATTCGTCGAGCTCGTATTAAAATACGGGCTATAAAATACAGAATGCCATTAAAAAAATAAAGGTAGCCTTAAAATACATGAAAAAAAAAAAAAAA